TTGATGGTTGTTCAGCAGTCAGTTGCGGCTTCGTTGTGTATGTGAGAGGAGGTGAGCTCAAGGTCCTTCTATTCTGCCATCTTGATGAGATCCTCCAGACAAACTTAATTTCCAAAAATACTATGGCAGGCTGATGAAACTTGTTTCATGTAACAAGTGAATAGCTAGTACTGAGCTAGTCCTTCTACCATTCACAACCAGAACAGACAAACAAATAAAAATAAAATTTCAGAATATATATGTACCCCGATGTTCACAGCAGTACTATTTACAATAGCCAAGACTTGGACACAACCCAAGTGCTCATCAATAGGAGATTGGTTTAAGATGTGGTGTCAACATATGTATACATTGGAATATTACTCAACCATAAAAAGAATGAGTAATTGCCATTTGCAGTGTCATGGATGGACCCAGCGAATATCATACTAAGTGAAGTAAGTCAGGCAAAGACCAATATTATATGATATCACTTTTATGTTGAATCTAAAAACAATACAAGAAATTCTGTATACAAAACATTAATAGACTCTCAGACATAGAAAACTAAATTAAGTTACCAAAGGGGAAAGGAGGGTGAGGAGGAATAAACTAGGATCCCTAATGGGATTAACAGCTATAAACTACTATACATAAAATAGGTAAGCAAAAAGGATTTACTATATAACACAGGGAGTTATATCCAATATCTTGCAATCACCTATAACGGAAACAAATCTGAAATATATACATGTATAAGTGAATCACTTTGCTATATACTTGAAACTAACACAATATTGTACATCAACTATACTTCAGTGAAAAATAAGCTTTTAGTTCAGGCCTCTGATCCCCCTAAGAAAGGAACAGCTGTGATGAACTGCAAGCTCTATGACTTTGTGTCTGGAGGCATTAACTTGACTCCCTTGTGAGAAAGAGGAGGGATTTAGATCACAGCAATAACATCTTGCTAAGATGAGAACATACAGATTGGAGTTTGAGGTGATGGAGTAACAGAGCAGAAAACGCAAAGGAGGAAGCTATGCCAAGGAAGAACCTCATGAATACTCAGAGATCAGCTAAATAGTGCACTGTGCACATGTAGGGTGAGACCCCACGGGGCTGAGCAAAGGACATCCACTGGGGATAAAACAACTGCCAGAGAGCTGTCAGCTTAATGCCTGCCAGAACTTTCACACATTGGAATTATTTGGATTCTGAACAGAGTGTAGAGACCATATTGAGCAGGTAGAGGCCCGAGAAAGATCACACTTTAGGAGCTCGAGAAAGAAGCCTGCCCTTGACCCACTCTAACAAAGCTTTAAAACAAGCCTAGAAAAAAACCCCAAGATGTTCTTTACGTAAATTAACTGACTGTCAAAAGAAAACTAAAAAATTTTTAAAAGAAGACAACAGAATTCAAACACACAATCTGGAAATTTTACTTAGTCAATCCATAATTACCTCACATATGAGGAATTTGGAATATGTGACCCATACCCAGTTAATAGAAGATACAAATTGATAGAAATGATGAGGTATCAGAAAAAAGCTTTAAACTGAAAATAAGTGTACTCGAGGATTTAAAAGATCATACGAAATTAGTTGAGAGAAATATACACTGTAAAAGTAATAACCAAATGATACTTCCAGAGTGGAAAAAACACATGACATAATAATGTAATGGATGGACTTAATGGCAGAATAAGACTGTCAAAAAAATAATGAACTTGGAGTACTTGAAGGCAGGACAATAGAATATATCCAAACTAAAATAGAAAAAAAAAAGCCTGAAGAAAAATTAACATATCTTTAGTGTCTAGTAGGTCAGTATCACGGGGACTAACCTATGTGCGACTGAAATTCCACTTATATGAGGCCAGGGGTGAGTTCATGAAAACGATTTGAGGAAATAGCGACCAAAATGAAACCAAATTTTCTAAAACTATTAAACTCACTGATCCAGTTGTGTCCATGAACCCCAATGAGGAGAAACACACAGAAGACTATACAAAGATGTTATAAACAAACTACTGAGAAGCAATGATACAGGAAAAGAATCCTTAAAAATACTCCTAAAAAGGAGACTCATAACAAATAGGAGAACAAATATACAAATTATTACAAACTTTTATTAGGAAGTGTAAACCAGAAAACAACAACATGTCATCTCC